TTTACGGAATTTCCTTAAAAAAAAAAAAAAATCGTTAAAATCGGACAATTAGGAACAAAGCTATGGTTTCTAGTTGTTTTTTATATGTTCTACTGCAAACTTATATCCTTTATTTTGGTTTTTGATTTTCGAATGTGTTACTGAAGTATTGCTAATTTTTTTAGCATGTTACTAATTATTAAAAAAAAAGATTTAATACAATAATTGGAATCCCCTTTTATTTATTTTTATTTGTTACTACGAAGGTAATGTTACTTTAAATGTATAAGTGTTTGATAATAATAAACCATTGTAAAATGATTTGAAGTTTTTTGTATTTTTTCTGAAGAAAAAAAAATTAGATTTTGTTTAACAAATCATTAACTTTAAGAAAATTTATCACCGACCTTACTTTAACTTCATCATTATCTAAAATAGATAATTTTGGTATGATTTCTAATTTTGCTAAACTTGATACGTAATAGGGACACTATTTACATATGACTTTTTGCACTAATAGTAGCGATATTTACTAATATACCTATAGAAATAATAGCTGAAAAAGTAATAGTTATTTCGTAAAATTACTACTTACTATTATCTGTTGTAGGTGGAGAAGATTGGTGAAAATCTGAGTCAAAAAGGAAAGGAGTGGGCAGGAGCTCTCCAAGAACAATTCGAGAAGCTGCAGAGCAAAACTACAGCTCGAGCAAATTAATATTTTTAATTTATTTCACAATTGGTTGTGTTAATATTGTAATGTTACGTGTATCCTGTTATTATTTAAATAAGTAAATTAGTGTTGTTTTTTTTCTATGTGTGTTTAGTTATTTTTCCAAACCTATTGCTACGTTTCAAATTGGTTTATATAAATTTTTATTTAGATTTTAAACGGGATGCCACTGGTAATTATTGATGATAATTATCCAGAATTAGTTAATAAAATATTAGTTTAACAAATTATGTCATTTGACATATTGGTCCTTGATTAATCTATTGGATTTCTTCTCACAAAGGCTTGTTGTGTGTTTATCTGTTCTCTAATTACCAAACATTACCTGTGCTTATAATGATATCAATTGGTGGCATGATTAAAATAACTTTTATGTACAAATTATGTTTATTTACAAATGATATAAGAAAGAATGTTATATACATTACATTTACAAAAATTAATGAACTATACAATTGGTTGTGAAGGCATGATTCAGATGGATGGAATTGAAAATTACATTGCCATTAAATATTTAAACATCTTTAAAAAGGAATTGTTGGGAATTACTTATCTAATACGTTATTTGAAGTGCGAAGTTGAGATCATCTTTGTTCAGGTAGGTCTTCAACAGTCCTCCAACCAGATAAAACATCAGGGACCTCCTCAGTGCCGGGCAGCTACATCAGGCCTCTCTTCTATCAGCCTCTCCTCATCCAGCTGTCCTCAGCCGAGTCCCAAGAAGAAGTCCCCTAGTCCAAGTTCTATATTTTTCACCTTTTCTTCATCCCCTCTCTTTTGGTAGGGGCAAGAATTGTTCCCATTGGTACAATTTTTGTAGCAGAAGGGATGACCACACCCCCAGCGATATATTGAACACACCGCTTTTAGCAGGTACACTACCGTTTCTTCCTATGCTTAAGAGTTAAAAGCTTTTTGATCCTCTTTAAACATAAGACTGGTCCTTTGGTGTTTTTGGCCGACATATGTCGTCAAGTACTTCTATTGCTAGTGGGTGTGCTAAGAATATTCTCAAGAGTGCTAAAAGGTTACCTCAGGGGATTATCAGGTATCCCGACCACTATCTAAGTAATAACCACTTACAAAAGGTTGGGTCGGGGGTTTCAGGTACCCGCCCATGTGTTAGAAATTATTTTTAAATCTTATAAATTATCATTAGGCTATGTTCAATACATATCACTATATTCTCTTTTTAAAGCAATATTATATCATAAGATCAATAAGAGATATTTCTGATGATAAGGTTGGTATAATTGTTTCTATCCTGGAAATATGACTACCAGATACCCGAATTACAAATTTATTATATCCTTATCCTTATTCTTCCTTATCAATATTCTTCATGCAGTTGCGGATCCAGGAATTTTCTCAGGGTGAAGCGCACCTCTATACCAGGTGCTTCGTCCATCCTTACCCGTTCCCCCACCACTACCCATCTCCCCCCACTCCTTAGCTGAGTTTAGCCGCTCAAAGGTCCTCTTTAAATGGTTTTAACAAAAGCAAAGTCTATTTTTATTTAAAGTAAATTTTGTCTAGTTTACTGTGAAGCAATCGTTGATTTAGTTAAATTAAATAGGTTTTTGTTATCACTCACTATTAAAAAAAATACGTGACACATAAAAAATCACAAAACTTTAATTCCCTACTTTCCTGCTGAAAATCATACCATTGTTTATATAAACTTTTTTGTATTTATTGAGTTCTGCTATATTCCTTTAAATATTTCCTTCTATGGTTTTAGACATGTAAAAAACTAAATTTCTAACACGGGTCACCAAGAGAAAACGCCAAAAAATCCAGATTTATCTGATTTTTTTTCATGTATTAATAATAAAGAGTGCATCAAAGCGAAAAACGTATTCATTAAGAAATTAAAGAACGTAAAATGGAAATTAAAGAACCGTAGTTGATATGGTCGATAACTACGGCCAATGAACGCTAATTTTGACCGACATTGTCAAAATCTAAGAAAGATTATTATAAATGGCTCTGCAGCTTGGAAATGAAATCTCTAGGAAAAAAAAACTCAAACTAATTTCCGATTCCGATCATAATCAGATTCCGATCAAATCGAAGACCAAATAATTAGTACCTTCCTTCATGAAAACTTTTTTTTTTTAATATTACATCAGGAAATCCGTGCATGAGAATGAATTTTCCCTACATCTCTCTTTTCTTTAAATAGATGTTTTTTTTTTCGGAATTTTATTCCACCATCCATAATCCTACAAGGAGGGTGCGCCCCCGGTAGAATTCACTAGTGCTGGTCACAGTAATATTTTTTTACTTTCCTACCTATACTAGGTAAGGGAAGTATTGCGATCACGTCAAATTTCCGACATGCGGTTTTCGATGGATCTATACGTTCCAGAGCCCCCTGAGTCCGAAAAACACATTTTTAGCCATTGGTCTGTCTGTCTGTCTGTGCCAAGATTTTCTCGGGAACTACCGAACCGATTTTGTTGCTTCTTTTTTTATTTTGTAGGGTTTTGACTACTGATGTGATTTCTCAGAAATTTGGTGCTCCATGTGCAATAAATGAAAAACATGTTTTTCTATAGACTGTAGCGCGAAAACGGATATAACGATTTTAATGAAACTTTCCTATAATGTTTTAATCATTGTCCTTTCAATTTTCGTATATAGACTGAATTCCCGAAAAAATTTAGAAAAAAAAGTTATAAACTACCTAAGCAAATATTATACGGTAAAATTTATAATAAAACTTTTACAAGGTAATTAAATCACCAACAAAACAAAAAAAAAAAAAAAAAAATCGGAATCGAACCAGTATTAGCGATGATACAGCTTATTCTATGTTTTACTACAAATGAAATTCCCTACAAAGCCATTTAAAAATCGTTCATTTTGTACAACTATTAACGAAGTTACAGCTATTCAATTTCCAATGTAAGATTACGGGTTCATATCCTGGTGTCAGAAAGGGGTTAATGAGAGAAAAAAGAAGACTAAGTGAAAGCAACAAAATCTGTTTCCCGCATCACACAATCTTCACTATTTCCTCTACTTTTATCAGAAATTATTGTTTGACAATACTAAGCTATAGCAAAAAGTTTTTGATCAGCAATATGAGAGAGTATTGAAATTTTGACACTGATCTACTTTAAGCCGGTCTACATTGCTGTAATTTATCAAATAAATTACTTACTTACTACTTATTACTTAAATCTTTTCTTTGATCAATTTTCAGGAACATAACTCTAGTTCAATTTTTTTTGTTTCTTCATGAACATATGTAAAGATATAAACATTGTTCTGAAATGGGTAGGAAAGCCATGTGGATTTGACACACCAGATATTGCAATATTACTTTAGGAAATCCGTGCATGAGGATAAATTTTCTCTACATTTCTATTTTCTTTAAATAGGTGTTTTTTGTCACTTTTTTCCACCACAGGACATTTGCACATTGCACTTGTAGTAAGTTGGGACTGGGATTGCGTTTCCTATCCATTTAAAAACTTCTAGAACTAGATTTTGCATTTTTTAGAAATCCCTATCATAATACATATATATTTTTTTTTTTTTTAAATTTAGAGACCTACATTGCCTATCTTTATATATATGTATATATTTTAACCCACTACATTTAGAGACCTCCAGTGGCCATCTTTATTCTTTAACTTATCTATATATGAAATATATAGTATTAGAAAGTATTGCGGTATTGAAAATTGCGAATCTGAATTTTTAACTGAAATACACGTTTTGAGGTTCCCTGAGTCCAAATAACCAAGTCTCGCAAAATGGTCTGTGTGTAGGTGTACAGTCTACCACAATAACAAAAATTCATGCGAAAATGAAATTGCGTATTTAAGGTTTGTATATACCTGGGAAAGGTTCCTGGAAGTGGCGCTTGATATAATCGATTTTACACATGTTTACGATTTTTTCAAAATAGCTGTAACGATTTTAATTGAATGCGTTATATCAGTGTAAAATTAAACAGTTTGTAATCTAATGTAGGTTTTATTCTCATTGATGTTCTCTAACAGGGCTTAATTGGCTAATTTTCAATATTTCTTCTTCTAAAGAACCTTTATTATTTTCTTTTTTTTTAAATAATTAACCATTTCACAATTAACTCTGATATAAAAAAATAGTTGAATGTAAAATAGGAAAGAATTTGGTAATTAACTAAAGGAAAAATAAGAGTTCGTAACGAAGAATAGTTGTAATAGAGGGATCAAGGGAATACGAGCACGCTCGCAAGATTAGAACAGGAATAAATAAAACAAATTGTGGAGATTTATTATTTTAGACAATGATACTAACTTCTTCGTCTTTAATCGATCTAAAATTGACTATGTGAATGTTTTGTCGATCAATATTTAATATTCATCGACAATAAGGCGCTAAGATAACAGTAGGACGCATTAATGACCTGTTGAAAAAAAAAATGAACATTGTATTGAAAATTTGAAATAACATTTTGAATATTATATCAATTTCTTACAGTGGCGAAAAATTCCATATCCGCATTAGTTCCCAATAAGGTCCTGATGTTGGGTTTCCTCAACAACATGCTCTGCATAATGTGCACCATCCTCCTACAGGGGACCTTCATCTTGTACCAAGGGGAGTCGTATACAGCCAGTCGCAACTTTTCGAACTGTCATCGTAGCAAGTTTACATATTTGTGAATTAAAAAGGTAGGATACCAGGTTAATAAATAATTCAACAATTGCTTATATATCACTACACTGAATCGATTCACTTCATAATTTTATGTTTGTTGAATTGGGATCATTCACTAATTGAAATTTACAATAATATGCACAAGAAAAAGAGACTTAAAATAGCTATCTTTGTTTTACTTTTCCTAAATTAAAATGGGGAATATTTGTTTACATTGGCAACCAGCAGGTAGCGCAATGAGTTACCTAAACTAATTGGTTTAAAAACTACCTTACAATTGCTGTGGCATTGGAAAAGAAGGAATTTTGCACAAAAACTTTCTTAGACTTCTCACAAGCCTTTGATGAAGTGTGGCATGATGGTCTACTTTGTAAAATTAAACCGATCTTTCCGCATACATACTATTTAATCATCAGATCGTATCTTGAGGATAGATTTTTTATTGTTAACCAGGATGATAAATACTCCGACTATTGCCGAATCGACGCGGGAGTACCGCAGGGCAGTATTTTAGGTCCGGTTCTGTACTCAATTTACTCTTCTGATATTCCACAGACGCCAGACACATTACTCGCAACTTACGCCGTACTCTCGACTCTAATCCGATCACAGCATCTCAGAAAGCACAGATTCATTTAAATCTTATACAAGACCGGCTTGATAAATGGCGCACAAAAATTAACATTCAAAAATCAAACCAGGTTACATTTACGCTTAAACGTTCGGATTGCCCTCCACTGACACTTTACAACACCCCTTTGCCAAATCATACTGAGACAAAATATCTAGGACTCACAATGGACAGACGACTGACCTAGAAATCACACGGGACTACATTAAAAAAGAGATTAAACCATCGATTGTCACTACTAAGACGAATGCTATACCTTAAAAACAAACTATCACTTTCTAACAAAATTACTATATACAACATGCTATTCAGACCAATATGGACGTATGCCTCTCAGGTGTGGGTTTCATGCAAAAAAACACACTTACAGACTATTCAAATTTTCAAATCAAAATTTCTCCGTTATATCACTCATTGTCCCTTCTACATAACGAATAAATCACTTCATAAAGACCTACAAACACCACAAGTGACTGATGTAATTAAAAAATATTACAAAAATATTCATGACTCCTTAGCTGGACATCCTAATCCACTTGTACAAACATTACTAACGGACACACTACCACAGAATCCACCAAGGAGACTCAAACGCCTCTGGAGCAGGGATCTGCTGCATTGAGAGTCACGTTAGGAGTGCCTTCAATGGGAGGTTTCTCCAATCACGCATTCGCGCTAATCCCGGAGAGGAGGTTCGCTAACGAACATCACATTTGCAAAACATGCCTAAAGGCATTTGTAAAATTGCTCAATAAATAAATTTATTATTATTATAAAAACTACCTAGTTTAAGTGGCTTTTCCCTTCTTTCCGCAGTCAATATTTCCTTGGATCATTCCTATTCCAAACGATCAACACCCGACACCCTTCCTACATCTACAGTCTTCTACAGTTCAAACCCGTGGTGTACTCCCAGAAAACAAGATCCACTGTTTCCGACCTTTGTATCCCTTCCCAAAGAACTGAGACATTTGAATATTCCTTTATTGTCCGATCCACTACCTTCTGGAATTCCTAGCCATCTGATATCCGCCATACCTCTTTCTTGTCCTCATTCAAATATCATCTCTACCAATTCCTTCTCACATCCCAAAATGACATTGTACAATGAAACAAATATTGTGAAAAAGATTTTGACTGAGGTGAATGATTGTTGAAATTGTTTGAGTTTTAATTTTAAAAATTAACCCATGCTTATATTATTTATTTTTTACCTGATTTCTATTTTTCTTTTCATTTAAATAATGTTTTTTTTTTTTTCTTATCCCCAGTTTCTTAAAGGTTTGTTTCTTACATATGGTTAACATATTCCTTTTAGTGTATCTTAGATACATTTTAAGGTCTTCCTGAGCCTTTCTTAGTTTTCTTTATCTTTATTTCTGGACTTTCAATCTGAGTGATGGGGCTCACCTCTATCTAGATAATTTTCTTAGGACTATCTTATAATCTAACTTACACATATATTTTGCCATCGCCGAGGAGATGGCGGAAATGTTATAGTATTGAATTCTGCATTTGTTAAATATTTTAACGAATCGTAGAATTTTATTATTCTTTTGTTTAAGAATTCAGATACGGTGGGTAAATTTAAGAAGGCGTGAAGTTTATCTGATTTTTGTTTTTCCAATGACGTATTTTTAGCTATTCTGATTAGAATTCCATTTTGGAATAGCTGGAGTCTCTTGCTTGTATTTTCAGAAATGTGGGACAATAGAGGAGCACCATAGAGAAGGGAAGGGCGAAGAATGCTTTCGTAGATGGTTAATTTTAATCTGAGACTGAGGTTTGAGGTTGTGAGAAGGTGACTGAATTTGTAGGATTTTTGTCTAACTTTTGATAGTTTTGAAGTGCAATGAGCGGTAAATTTTAGATGTCTGTAAAATTTCATTCCTAGATAGACAAAATTATTTGATATTTTGTTGTATGAATTACCAACTCGTAGGTAATTTTTTCTTATTTTTTTGAAACGAAAATATTATACAATCAGTTTTTTAGGATTTAATTGAATATTTAACAATTTAAGTTCATTTTGTATGACATTGCAAGTTTCTTCCGCTTGTTTTAATGCTTTTGAAGCGTTCATGCTGCTACTGAATATAGCAATGTCGTCTGCATATGCCATTACAGATGCCTTCATATAATTTTAGCCAATTATGTCAGCAGTGTAAATGTTGAACAGAGTTGGTGAAAGGACTGCACCTTGAGGTATTCCACATGTCAAAGGTATTGCATTCGAGTAATTATCACCAATATTTACAGTCAGACTTCGGCCATTGAGGAACGATTTCAAAATAAAGTACAACTGTTGGGGACATTGCAAGCATTTCAGCTTTTCAATTAGAATGGAGTGGGAAACGGAATTTTTTTTCAAAATGTTATTACTTTTTATATGTTTTAATATACTTTCACTGAAGATATTATATATATTCTTTAATGTTGATTAATGTAATTTTTGGCCAGATGAGGTTTTTATTTTTTTGTTCATAATTGCTATTCATAAACCTCGTCCCGGAATAAAGTTTATTTTCTATCTATCTATCTAAACAGCTGTTTTCTGGTAAATATTATTTCATGATATGGAATCTAAATTTAGTTTCAGATATATCTGTCATTAATATCATAAGAGAACGCCGCATCGATTTATTAATTAATTAGCAATCTTGGTGCTAAGTCCCTTTCGCTACTACAAGATGGCGGCCGAATTCAAGATCACCCAGACCGAGCTATTCGCAGATTCCCGATGAATGCCGAAAGTAGCCGAATACTGCTCGGAGTTCAGACACAGCTGCCTTGAATAACGAGTCGCCTAGGTTAGGTTAGATGAGAGGCAAAAAACTTCTTTTTTTTTTGCAATGAGTGAATAAACGACGACTGATATCTCGGAAATTATAGAAGATATACGAAAAAAATGAATATAATCATTTTGAAAATTTCACTTTTTGAATCGTAAATTCAAAATTTCGGCTTGAAATTCACGAGTATTGGATAACTATTATTTCATATCTTAAGGCATGAAATACTATAAATTGTAAAACTTCTGTCATAATTTATTAATTTTATATTTCATATCATATTACTGACGTTTCGTGATTTTATCCCATTCTCAGATATATATTTTTCCATTAAAATTCAAAGTCTGAAGTACATGTATGATTATAAGAACATTTTGCTATTAGTTAAGGAAAGTCAAAAATTAATTTGGATTTCTCACCAAATAGTCAATATAGATAGCATTGATTGTTCTGCTATTGTTGTACTGGGACTTCGGATGGCAATTGTTTCAGGGCGCCCGTTTTAAAAAAGTTTTGAAAAATAATTAGTTTAAACTTATAGATTAGCAAAATAAATAACCCCTATATATAAATAGATTATTGATTAGAAAAAAAAATTAAAGAGATTACTATTATTTTATCATAAAATTCAAAATAAAATTATCATACTACAAATGACTGCAGTAAAAGTGATATTAAAATAAAAAAAATCTCATTATATCAATATGAAATAAAATGTATAAAGTGATACCTCATCTGTAATCATTTGATTGATGAAAGCTATTATGTACTGATTAACTAATATTGCGTTAACCATAAATGTAGCTTGAAAAAGCAAAAACATGTTTTCTCGTTCCTGAAAATATTTTGAAAACAAATTATTAATAAATTAGATTGCTTTTACCAAGATATTTGTAATTAAATATAAAAAATAAAATTATAAATATAAAATATGTACAGTTGCTAATCGTCCGCAGCAAACCACCAAAGCAAATATTCCTGGATAGTAACACATGCTTATCGGACCCGTGAAGAATTCACAAACTTCTTTGGTCAATCTTAAAATATAAAATAAAATAAAATTATTAATAGCATCAAATAATAAAATATATTCAATTATAAAATGTAGGAAAAAAATGTAAAATACTTCTATCTCACTTACCAGTAACGCTATAACCCAGATGTATGAAAACAGTAAGCTGTATATACTTAATTAATGCACAGGATCTAAAAGAAGGGCTTCTAATTAAGGATATGAGTGTTATCTCGATATTATGGAGAAGAGAGAAATATTGATTACGCGTTACCTGACAGACTCAAGAGTTTGAAGAGTGTCACATACGAAAAAAAAAATCAAAAAGGATCCTTAAATCTGCAAAGTACTTCAGCACTTACTAGACAAACGCTCTAAACTCCCAATTAATTACAAAAGACTCATATACATGAGTATAATAAGGCCTATTTGGACTTACAGAGTTGAGGTATGGGGCTCCACTAAACCATCGAATTCCTCTCGTATCCAATCTATACAATCCAAAATCCTTCTAAAATCCTCAATGCTCCCTACAATGTTGAAAATAAAACCATCCATAATGACCTTAATGTTTCTTATGTTTTAGATCTGGCCCAATCCTTCCATAATAAACTTCCAAATCATCCCAACCCTCTCGTTTCTAACCTTGCTTCCTCTTCTATCCCTGATAACCCCCCGAGACGTCTGAAAAGAAGATGGCCGCTTGATCTCCTATAGTTTCTCAACAAGTGTTTTCACGTCATTATATCCATATGTTCAAATTTACTGAATGTATTTCTAAGATATCTCTTCCTGATTGAACACCGGTGTATGGCGCATAATAATAAATGTGCAATCTTATCATCCAATTCTGATCCCGAAATAGCATCCTTAAATCTCCAAAGCCACCTCACTTTGATTGAGTACTGGTGTAATAACTGGCGCATTAAAGTTAATGAATCTAAATGCCAACATATTACCTTTACGCTTCGACGAAATTCCTTTCAACCAGTAAACTTTAATTACATCCAGCTTCCTAGCTCAGACACAATCCGGTATCTTGCCTTTCTCATAAACCGAAGATTAACCTGTAATACACATACTACACAAAAACTCATCCGCTATATGGGCTATTGAATCTAAACTTTCAATTGACAACAAATTACTGACCTACAAGACAATTCTAAAACCTAAAAAAAAAAAGCTTCACAATGCCTAAGAAATATTTAAGTCTAACTCCGATCCGTTGCCAAGCAACGCCGTTTGAAAGTTTTATTTCTTGACAGGGCCGGTCAATTCATCGTTCATATGCAGCGAATCGCAAACAACAAATAAATTTCCTCAAGGTGAAATGAAGGTGACCTCTGCCGAATAGGACTGTTGAGCAAATTATAAATAATAATAAAGATTGTTAAGAAGTCGAAAAAATATTACGCTATTTCTCAAAGTGTTTTTATTTACCAAAAAAAAAAAATCATGGCACAAATGTGACTGAAATGCTGAATTAAGAAATTTCTTCAATTTATAGTTAGGTCTTACTTACCCATAGATCCTTTGATAATGGATAACACTGTTCTTTAACTCATTTTTCATGGCCGAAAGACGTGCTTTCTCCCAGTCTGCTACAGTTCTTATGTTCTGAAGTTCCATCGTCTTGGTCACTCGTTCATCGACCGTCAGTAAGGAGATGCTGATTAGCCTGCATTGGTATCCTGCAGTGATGGCCACTGCGGTGAGGTAGGTGACGATGTAGCCGAAGATGATGAAGACGTTGATGATGGTCGAAAGCTCCATGAGATAGGTAATGGCGAAACCCCACCAGGTGTTCAGCGGGAAGGGAGACCAGCACTGAAAGAGCAAGAGGTTGCTGGCGTCCTTGTCGACGTTTTGGTAATAGCGCCAGATCGGCATCAGGCAATATGCGACACTTCCAAGCTTCATAACTGAAAAAAAAGAACACAAATCTACAAATAAAAAAAAAAAAACAGAAAACTTTTTCGTATACATATACAAAATTAGTTTATGGAATTAAATAAAATTTACAGCATCCTTTTTTCACTGACATTTAACTTTCTCATAGTTATGAGCAAATTCGTGTCAGAGACACATTCATACCATATATACTGTAGTAGATACCCCCTGTATTTACTCCTTTATGTGACATTGTGTGTGGGAATGAGAAGGAATATATAGGAATGTGAGGTTGCACTGTGAATTGTACTCAATTATGCAGTGGACAAATTGTTCATTGAAAAGTCTCATATCGATGAAGAAGGTACCAAAAGGACGGAGCAGGTAGCAACAGCTGGAGAAGGACGCTGGAGAGAAGAGAAGGCAATCCAGGCCTGGACAGGAAGAAACAAGGTTGTCAGAATAGAGAGGCACTGCACTGAAAATTAAGAATATCAAGCCTACAGTTATAAGACTTTAATATATTCACTTATTACAGTTATAAAATAAATTGTTTTGTTAGACAGGAGTGAAAAGTAATTTATTTATTTAGTTGTTCCATAGGCCTCAATTGAATAATAACAAACCAGGTGAGTCAATTCATTCAAAGTGTATTTACTCAGTCCCACATTTCATATATATATATTCTTATTGTTTCTTCTCACTCAGTGTCACAAAACCATTAGGTTCCCGAATCCCCAACAACAGTTAAACACCCTCAAAATGTCTAGTGCCGGGGTTTTGTTTTAATATTCACGAGTGTAAATAACCTAGTTCCCCGATAAACGGAAGGAATATTTACTTATTCCCGCCAAAACTAATTATTTACAATTAACTCTCAACGTAGTTATTTACAATATAATAACAAAAATAATAGAAATTATAACAAAAGAAAGAAAAAGAAAACTTAGTAAAACAGAAGAAATAAAACATGAGACAATATTTAATAAAAATATAAAAAGACATTCATACTTATCTACAATATTTACACTCAGCCGAGGGAACTCAGAGTTGGGTTCTTTTCCCCACGAGTGGAGGATTAGGCAAGATTCTAAGAGATCCCAGCACTTCCATCTCAGCCGCATCACTAGGATGAGGATTCAGTGGAGACGAAGAAAGAGCTCTAAAGCCACTCTTAGAATATGAATGTGTGCTTGTGAAAGCGAAATTAGGGGATTCCATTTAGTGAAATTTATATTGAAACAACCTTTATTTATATCTCTCTAAGGAAGGACGATGACGCATATGCTCTCCTAAGATGATTTATTGCTCTCCTCCTTTTAAATACAGTGCAGATTAAATTAAAATTATGAAAATTATAGCTTAGTTTTTTCTCTTGTTCCTTTGTTTTAAAGTGTTTCCTGATTAAAATCGTACAAAAATATGGCTCACTCCCAAATTCACAACCCCGTAAAAATTTGCCCATTCCCTTCCCCCGGTCTGGTCATCTTACACTAAGAACGTTAATCAACATATTTATTTCGATAAGACATCATAAGATTTATTAGGTTATTTTAACATGGTAACCCATGGTTACAGTTATTTATGTAACAGATGATTGTGAATAGTCCCTTGTTTGTCATTTACGCGTAGCGTACTTATTTTGTAATGGCGTAATGGGATTGGGAATACCTAAGAAAATCGCTTGAAAAGTCCAAGGAGAGGCTTTCTGTCATATAGGTGAAGATTCATTTTTATTTAATACTCCAATTATTTACAAAAGGGTTAATTATAGAGATATATTTTATTGTTTCTAGTACCGGGAATAATGTTGCATTTTGGACCAAGTCTACCATGGATAATTTTGGGCCTATTTTTGGATATTCTCACGTTCACGGTCATATCATCTAGACGTCAGAGTAGAGAGATTGGTGTCCAAATCGGTTACATCAGTAAAACGAGATATAATAGCCAATTGTATCTGCTGCTGGACTGGGCTTAAAGGAACATTATATTTTGTTTGTGGTGAAAGTATCTTATATTATATTTGAATATTTTTTTAATGTTATATATTCCTTTTTTATGTCTAATGTATGACATTTTTAGAATTATATATTGTTAATATAGTCACATTATTTATATATAAACTTACAGTTATAATATATATAGTAGAACTTTTTCACTTTACTCTCCGCATTCCTCTTTAATTCATCCATCGTCTTTTCCAAAAATGGGTACCTGTACCATTTATCCAATATCTTGCTCACTCTGCCTATCTGCCTTTGTCGGCTGTGAATCGCCATGGCGTAGAGCATGGCTGCCACAGGATAGGCGTATTCGAACATCTTCGCCACATGACTGTATCGATGGAAGTTGATGACGTGATGAACAACGATCCAGACGAAGACGATGAAGGATATCGTCATGTTGGCTGGATATCGGAGGACCCAGTAGAACTTGCCTCTCTTCCAGACGGTCATACCATGCCTTATCGTCACTGACTCCTTGTAGACGAAGTCTTCGCAGTCGTCTTCGATCCTGGAGGATGCATAATAAAGAAAGAGTTGATGTTAAAACCAAACAAGGAAAGCGAAAATCACAATTTGTATGCAGAGGGTTTCAGGGTTAAGTGTTATAACTGAAAATATGAAATAAGAATCTTAAACAAGAAAAAAAAATCTGGTGTGTCCACTCACACGACTTTCCTACCTATTTTAGAAAAGTTTCTATATCTTTACGTATGTTCATGAAGAAACAAAAAAGAATTGAACTAGATACATTTTCCTGAAAATTGATCAAACATAAGATTTGAGTACGATTTATTTGATAAACTAAACCAATGTAAACCGGCTTAAGGTAGATCAGTGTAAAAATTTCAATACTTCCTAATATTTCTGATCAAAAACTTTTTGGCATAGCTTAGTATTGACAAACAATAATTTCTGTTAAAAGTATAGGTTTAAAAAATGCGTAAAAAATAGAATAAGCTGTATCATCACTAATACTGGTTCGATTCCGATGATTTTTTTTTTTTTGTTTGGTTGGTAATTTAATTACCTTTCAAAAGTTTTATTATAAATTTTACCGTTAGGCCCAGCCATCAAGAGTTAGGCCCTATAACATTTTTCTTTTCTTTATACTTTTTTTTCCTGAATTTTTTGGGGAATTTAATCTATATACGAAAATTAAAAGAACAATGATTAGAACATTATAGGAAAGTTTCATCAAAATCGTTAGAGCCGTTTTTGCGCTACAGTGTATATAAAAGCATGTTTTTCATTTACTGCGCGCAAGCTATTGCGCATGGAGTACCGAATTTCTGTCACAGCCATCAGTAGTCAATACCCTACAAAATAAAAAAAGAAGCAACAAAATCGGTTCTGTAGTTCTCGAGAAAATATTGGCACAGACAGACAGACAGACAGACCAATGGCTAAAAATGTGTTTTTCGGATTCAGGAGGCTCTGAAACGTATAGATCCGTCGAAAACCGCATGTCGGAAATTTGACCCGATTGCAATACTTTCCTTTTACCTAGTATAGGTAGGAAAGAAAAAACTACGGTTTATGCTTAAGACCACACGACAGCGGGATTAATAATATGAAATATAATTTTTTTTATACAAATAAATAATTTGTCTTAATTTAAATACTTTTTTGCAATTCTGTTCTATGTGGTCGGTATGTTTTGATAGATTTCATTTCATCTTAATTTTTACTTTCATTTACCTATATGTGTAATATATAGTAAGGGGAAGTATTGCGATCGTGAAAATTTAATTAGAAAATTAAATTAGTTAATTTTCATGTTTTTGGCTTTGTGAAATCACAAAATTTTGTGTGACAACTTTTGACCTGTCCATGGCAGGCAATGAAAATCATCCTAATTTCATTTTAGTAAACATTAAAATGGAAAATAACTATTTAATAACTAATAGTCCTACAATCCATAATCATTTATAGATTAAATATTCAGATTTACGTTCAGATCTCTGTATGGATATATGAGCCTTTCAGTTGACAAAATGGCTAACTCAAATTTCAACACTTTTTATTAATAACTTTAGTGAATTTTTAATGGGAAAATGTTTACCTTTATTCACAGTTCTAGATTTCAACACTGCAATCACCTTGCTGCAACTAGAAATATCACTAAAATAAAACTACTTAAAAATGTTGAAGTTGGAGTTAGTCATTCTGTCAACTGAAAGGCTCACAGACTGAAGTTGTGTGGTTTATAAAAGCCGATGGAGTAACTGGAGTTTTATTGCCTACTGCCGATATAATAATTAAACTTTTTGTAATTTTAATGGTCTTAATGATTTCTTATCTGAAAGCTTTAAGCATTAGCTCCGTTTGAAATGCACTTCAAAAAATTGTATAATAGCCCAGCATTGTCAGAAATTTGTTTTTATTTAAAGTATAGCGGTAAGTGAAAGTTGTGAGTTGCGCGCACCAGATTTTTTAAATAAGGAGCTGAACATATGATTTTTATTTGCCACCCTTTCTGTTTCACCCTCTCTCTAAAGCCGAGAATTTTATAACCAAAAATAATTAAATTAAATAATTTAAAAAATACTGACACTTTAAATATATACTTCTCTCGAAAGGAATTCAGTTCTCTCTTCAGTCCCATCTCTCGTTCAAATTGAGACACACTGCACTGCCCTTCTCTGAAAATTAAGTTTTAAGAACTTCAATACGTGAAATTTCCTCAATTTTCTTCATGATGTAGAGTATTAATACTTCCAAGTGTGGTTTGCTGCCTAACGTGGGGAAGGGGTCATTATGGAGTTAAGTACATCGAAGAAAATTACAGTCTTTTTAAATTGGTAGTTTCTGCAACAGTGTTCATATTATTTGGGCGCCACTTAAATGTAAAGTATTGGGTACAAGTTTAAATTATGTGTACTTATAATATATGGTATTTTGGGATTGTATATTATTTTATGAATTATTTAGTTGATTTATCTAAAATGCAAAAAAAAAAAAAAACTGTTTGTAGGTGACAGATCTGGATTTCTTAAAAACTAATAAGAGTATTTTCTTCCTTAGTACTGATTAGATTAATAAGTCTCTTGATTTCTAAGGATATTACGTCTTTAAGGCTAATAAAAAACATTTTTTTTCTTTTTTTATTGAAAAATATTACAATCTGTCTCAAGGACATTTATAATAGTGTTCACAGATCACATTCACACTCTATGTACAGTAAATAAAATAAAATATACAGAAAAAGAATATATATATACAATAAATAAGAATAAAATGACCTAAAAATAAATGAATAAAAAGAAGGCATACATACCTATATACAATATTTACAATCTGACGAGAGAACTTTAAACCAGACTTGTCCCTCCAATTGTGGGGGGGGGGAAAGCATGGCTCCAGGAGATCCCTGCACTTCTCTCTCAACCGCGTCACTGGGGCTAAACCGATGGCAGATCGGCGATATAATCGGCGACGATAAGCGCGAAGGTTGAGTGCCGAGCAAAGAGAATTGGATCGTATTGTAGGAGCGACAACTATGTCCCATTTTTCTTTTTTTTTTTTTTAAACAGAATAGAAAACAAAACAATTATTGTATCATCAATAATATCCTAATAATCAAATCAATAGTTATGATAATTTTTCAATTAAAGAAAAAACATAAACTTAGAACAATTTATGATGTTTTATTTATATATTTTTTTCCAAAGCACTTTATATAGATGAATCAAATTTGTTTTTTTCGTAGAGCTTCAGAGCATAAAACATTATGGATATCAGTGCCAAATAGTTTTATAATTTACAAAATAGAAAAGGTAGAATGAAAATAATATTTATTATTATTAGTAAACAAATGCAGTAAAAAACCAGATAGAAAGAAACAATAAATAAATCTTTTATTGCATAACCTTTTAAGAAACCTAATAAAAAAATATAAGATAAATTTATTTGATTTTAATAATTTTTTTTTTAAATTTCACATAGGAATAATTATAAATTAAACTTTTAAATGTTTTGTTTTCTTGTATTTTTTGAACAATTAGTTATTCGTCGCTTGTATTGCCGCACTTCTATACAGTCAGCCTGATAAGCGAAACTTGTACACTGTAAATAGAGATTCCTACAAAATATGTGATGTTTTTCTAAATGTTAAACACATTTTTTTTTTTCCGGAAAAGTATGTACATTTTAAAAATCTATATTCAATAATGGAACGTGGCATTCATGAATATTTTTTTTCAATCACATGTTGGCCACAAATGAGATTATTTTACATCATGGTCATTTTAAACTGGCTACAAAGATATTTATCAGATTTTTTAACTATGGAATTTGAAATTTTGAAACAGTAAGATATCGAATGCAATTTTTTTTCAAATAATAAAGGAGTATTTTTATACATTATTTATTAATCAATTTGCCTATCTTTTTAGAGAAAATTGCAGGGTAGTATTTCGGTAGGCTAAGAAATAATTAATGAACTTGGATGGGCTCAAGTCTAATGAAAGGTTTGTGAAGCCCACGTGTATAATAACTCTACTCCTATGCCTTCTATATCATTATACATAAAAAGCCTTATTTTCTTCATTAAATTCTTAATCGTGGTATTGTATAGAGTAGAATGAATATCTAGATTGTTTATTTTGAATGTTACGAGTGGAATTTTCAGCCCTACTTTTATTGAATTTTTCTTTCACTTATAATAAGGCGCCTTTTTTTTAAGGTAAAACCTAATCGATTTTTTTGAGGAGAGAGGGCGGGGGGAATCGAGATAAGTATCAATTCCAGCAAAAAAACATATAATGAATCCGACAGAGCGTTTTTTTTTGTTTTCCAAAAACGAGCCTAAATATAGTAGTGTAAAAATAAGTTTATTTTTATAGATTTTTTTTTAAGGAATACTCGTATTTCTTTAGTGCTTGAAAACGTCTTGTGAAAGTTAAAAAAACCTTTTGATGATTTTATTTTTTGTAGTTTTATTTGAATGAAAATTCATTTTTTTCTTTTGTCTATAAAAGATCTATTTGCACCTGTCAACTTATTTTATTTTTTGTTCTTCCCTACCTCGCCTTTTAGGCTATACGGGATTTTCCCGGGCCGGGGGGTGAGGGCGGGGAAATTTAAAATCCCCTCCGGCACCGGGACGCGAACTCGTACTTTTTATATCATCTCAAATCTCATTTATCCGGTTGCCAGGCAACTAGCGGTGCTGTTACACAAGCTTTAGCCTATTCGGCCACCCCGCCCCCTAACCTGTCAACTTATTGTTGACAATTAGCAAATGTGATGGCGATACATGAAATAATGACGTGACAGGCATGGGGAAGGAAAGTACTCAGCAGTACCTCTTCCCTAACTTGTTCGTATTACTTAAGTTATTTAAGGAAAGAGATCTATCATCCTTTTAGTCTCCTCCTCATGTTGTGGGATATGTCAGCTGTGACCATGTTTCTTATTAGTCTGTTATTATGTCCATTTAAATTTGTGTAAAATCGTTGATAAAGGGTCGTTATATGTTGGTCAACTGTTGGAAAGTGGAGGTCAGTATGTAGAGTTTTGTTAGTCACGTACCAAGGTGCTTTTGTTATGAGTCGCAATAATTTTGATTGGAAGGTTTGAAGTTTTTGTAGGTGGGTCTTTTTAGCGATGCCGTATACGTGTTGAGCATATGGGCTTAAGTAAGTATTTATATGTATTCAGTTTCTGGTTTAGTTTTAGCTTTGAAGATTTAGAAAAAAGCGAGTAAAGTAGTTTGAGTCGTTTTTTAAGTGTCTTACGTTTCATTTTAACATGCGGACACCATATAATATGTCATATATATGTCACATTAAAAATGAATTTATTTTATTGTACAGTTCAATCATACATTATTTCTCTCCGATCAACGATTTTATTTAATTTTATTATTATTTTTTTTTGTCGCGAAGATCTTGATATTTGTTTTCTTCTAAAAGCAGCTGTTTAACTTTTAATGTTTTTAATTACTGTTAAAATAATCAAAGATTTTCGGAAACATCGTCGTTTTGACATTGCAAACAGAGTTGCCGTTCGTACGAGGATCTTCGTATTAGTACGAGGTTATGACGTATTATAAAGAGTACGAAGATCGACCAGTCTCGTACGTACCTCGTATATTATTTTTGCTGACGTATGCAAAGTTATATTTGTATGAATAAAGTTTTAGATTTGTTTTACAATTTTTTTACTATGGTATTATTTATATTAATATGTAATACTTATCTTCTGTTGCATTACAGACAAATGAATTCCAATTATATCTTAGATTAGATTAGAGTATGATTATTGTTTCCTTCATAAAACCGTGATTGTATTTATGTTTTTTTTTCATTTTCTATAAAAGAAAATTAAAAAAAATAAAATTGTTACCGTCATTTAAAACAAAAATACGATTTTTATGGAGTATAAAATAAAATATAAGAAAGTATATCCATTATTTCCTTCATAAAACTACGATTGTTACATAATTCATTTAAATAGTTCCAAGTAAGATAAATAAAAAGTAATATTTACTAATTTCAATTATGTTACCCCAAGTTTCGAAATACAAAAAACATAAACACAACAGCTTTAGCACATCACAGCATAAATTCAACTTCAATAGACCACAGATATTAGGCACAAAACCAAAAAAACACCAATAGGAAATTACTTGAAGCCATACACATCACAAAAAACAATAGAACAACAGTAAATTATAAAACAGACACTAAAAATAAACATTAATAACAATAGTATAAAAATAAACAGTCATATCCAAAGATCAATTGTATTCACTATGCTAGGTACCCAATAATTAGTCTAAAAGCAAGATGTTGCTCTAGACGTTACATTCCTAGATTTATTATAACTTGAATTAGAACCTGACGATGGAGCACATTACATTTAAGGTAATTACAAATCAAATGTAACAACCCAATTCTGACATGTATTGTTACATGCATTATATTTTAACTTATTTTTTTTAGCCATGTATCCACAAGATCATTGGGATTGTGGTTCTGAAGATGGGAGTAAATTGTTCACAGAGCGAGCGACAACACTGATTGCAAAAGGCCATTAAGTGAAATTTCATAACCTTAAATCACTAAGAACTTTGAAAGAGTTTGTTTATGTGTCATATAAAAAAATAATACTATAGATACGGAAACATTGATGCTTCAACATTTCTTATAATTTTTCTTCATACGTGCTTACATTTAGTAAATGTATATCCGTTATAATTTAACAAGAGAATATACTTTGGTTTTATTTTGATCATATTTATATAAATCACTCACAAAAAAATATATATTATATTATTTTTCTAATTTTGGTTGCTTCAACTCGTAAGTTCGCCCCTCCTCTTATATTTCCCTATTCTCTCTAATAACGGACACCCTTTATAGATACAAATACTCCTTACCTACTTCTATTTTGAACTTTTTTTAAAAATATTTTATTCTAGATCTTTTAACTAACTCTTTTATAGTTTTTTTTTGGCTACTTTCTGACAAATTTATCATGGCTATATGAACTCCTAATGCCATCTTTTACTATACCATGGTTAATAAATATTCAGGACGCAGTCTTTTTTTTCTTTTTCTTTTTTTTAAATTTTTATTTTTATTGTTGCCAATGTTTCAA